CTCTCCACCCTCGAAGAAATCATCTGGGGGCTTTAAAGTCTCTAACTCAGCATGTCTGGGGTCTGGAGTGGCACCTGGGCTGAGAACAGTCTGGGAGAGGACAGGGCCTCCTGCATAATTTACAGTTATTAATGCTCTAGTTCAGACATTCCTTAAAAAGCCACCTGAAGCAGAAAGGACATCCAATGATAACATTTACTGATGAGTTTCGTGCAATGTTTACAAAAGATGAAGTTTTATATGAGGACTAACAATACAAACACAGGGCCCAGAACAAACGGCAGCTCACCCGTCTGTTGAGGGCCGTCTTGCTACCGAGCTTTGTCATCTCCCCAAGGCTGTTCTGTGACACTCTTCTGTCAGCGTCCTCCTGTACCCCTGAGAGAATTCAGCAAGAGAGCACCATTTGTACTCAAAGTCTGCTGTAGGTGATATGTGAAGGGCAGTGGAACAGGAACAGTATTTTTCAAGGCAAAAGGAGATCCACCATAAAAGTCTACGGAACTACTCCAAACCCAAAGTACCCGAGGGACCTGACCCCCACCTGTACTGTCCGAGCACGGAATATCTCCATTAGTCGTCGAAGTTACGAGAAACTTTCTCGCACTGCTTAGTCCACGACTGTTGAGGAAAACAGGCAAATGGACGATGTTGCGCATGTAGTCATGCCCATTTATATTTGAGTCCCGGAGCACGCTGTTGAGGTTCTGGTTAATGGCCTTTATAATGATATGTGGATCACTTGCAAAAATGGCAATGAATGGGCCTTTTGAAAAGAGAACCCGGACCTGTGGTAGAAGAAATGTGTGTTTATGGTGTAAATTTTAAATTATCACAGTAATAAAACATCTCTTCAAAATCTGTATTATCCTGTGGTGATTATATTTTTAAAATCACATTTCCTCTTCATCAAAATCTTATTCTGTATGAAAACAAATTTCACTGACGTCTCAGTCTGGGATTTTTTTTCCCGTTGAACAATTTTTCAGTATGTGACAGTGAAAAAACTTTCAAAGAAAAGAATCCTGTCCTACTTTGAGAAACTTGCGGTCTACATAAGAGGCAAGATCAACACACATGAGAAACGTCTGTGGATATGCGTGCAGTGCTGAGCACACTGCTCTCTGCCTACAGCTACGCACAGCTGCTTATCACGGACCTTACAGAGAACCACTGACGCATCCTACTTTTAAAAAAAACTCCACAAATCCTGCAGGCTCTCTGCTGTCACCTCTGTTCTAACCAGAACTACCTGCAGAGAAAAGCTGGGGTCACACTGTGGCCTTCAGGGACACTCTACTTAGTCTTTCCTCACACTGCCATTACGCCAAAATTGCTTAAATCTGTTTAAATTTACTTTCGCTATGTTCCTGCATAAAAGATGGTTGTTTTTACAAATGAAAAAGTAGTATTCAAATTCCACTTGAGATACTCATGAAGTTATTCCTCTCAGCTGCCACGTGGGTGACAACTGCTGCCACGTGAGTGACAACTGCAAGCTTTCAGATGGTTAAGACGTACGGTGTCCAGCATCTGGAGCACTTTGTCCTGCTCGCAGGCGTCCAGCCCATCAATGATAACCACCAGCCTTGTCTGATTCTGAGTGAAGCTGTCAATGGTTTTTGCCATCCTGGCCATCAATTCCACTTCACACTTAAGAACCTGTGCAAAAGAAAGGGCAGGCAGGGCTGAAGACAGGGGAGAGCTGGGCACAGTTCCTTAAAGCCTGAGAGAACGCGACCTAACAGGAAGGAAAGAACTCTAAGGTCCTCGCTGTCAGCTGTGGGTCCACTTAAAACTGGTGATCACAACCTACAAAGTGACTTCACTAAATTAGAGCTTTCCACCCTTACCATGAGGTAGGCACTGTCATATCCATTTTAAAAGGACAAACTTGGCTGAGTGACTTACGTGGCAAGATCACATGCTCTGAATGTCAGAAGACAGATCTGAATGCAAATCCACAGGATCTAAACACCACACTACAGCCGGCTCCCTGGTGGCACGTGACCTTGACCAAAGGACGGGGCTGCAGATATTGTATAAAGCCCTTTTTCGTTCTAAAAGTATGATCCTATCTTAGTGTGTGTTGGTGGTTCAGGCTGCTACTGGGCGCTGGAGGATCCTGTACTATTAGGTCCACCTCTGGAGTAATTAGCCAGCTCCTCTGAGTATCGTACAAAAGTCTGTTTTATAAAAACATGTTATTGTTATAACTTTTCCACTTCATATATGCATTTTTCACAGGAAAAAAAAATCTGGAATGAAACTAAAAACAAACGCAACACTCTAACATTTAGAGAGTGCATTCCCTAAGTCCCAGGGAGCACGGCCGTGGCGGCATATTCACGTTAACATCACCTCTAACAACCAGGGAGCGCTTACTTTCATGAATCCTTCACTTTTCAACTTGTGCAGTTTGGAGGCAGCATTATGGAGGCGTTTCCTTTGAGAATTCAGGAGAGAGTCCAGCACCTGCCACCACGTACGACAATTCAGCACAAAGGCCAACCCCACTACAGACGCAACTGATATGAGGACAGCGTTCACTGTCAGGTGTTTCGGGTCGACTCTGAAGATAGCCAGAAGAGTAATTCCGGCAATAATGCAGCCAAAGATAAAGAGGAAGATGACAAAAGACGGGAGGCAGCACGTTTTTTTCCATTTCTTTTTACCTGTAATACAACAAATAGTTTGAACAATTATTTACATATCAACCATCTAGAAAATCCCAGTCATTACAGTGACAGCACATGACAAACCTGATGCTCAGTTCGTGTTTTCACGCCTTTCATTCATCCCATCCTCAGCCCTACACACACACACACACAGAGAAGAAGGAAGCCCTACCCTGCGTATCTTCAGTCTTGAAAACTCGAAAAAGCCTGGTTGCCAGAAAGCCAAACTCTCTTTCACAAGCATCCGAGAGGGTTGCAATCATTTCGGCCAGTGATGTTTCTCCACCCACACTGGACAACCTGTTATAATCTGTAAACAAAAACCTTGGAGAAAGGGGAAATAAAATGTTACTCAGAGAGCCAAATAAAAGATTCCCCACATATGGTATCTCTGTATCATTTATCCTGTATTTTCTTCAAGTCACTTTCAAGATACTGGTTTTACAATTCTAAGAGGAGGGAAAACAACCTGTAATTAGGTATCTTTCATCTCTAACATCTCACACACTTCTCCTAAGAAAAGACAGCAACAAAATGTAGCAGAGTAATATGAAGCAATTCTGACTAAAAGCAGAAAGGGGAAAAGGTTATGACAGAGCTTAGACAAGGAATCAGACATCTCATGGAGCAATGATCAAAAGGTGGCGCCCATATCAGCCAAAAAGAGCTGCACAAAGAAAGTTTTCTAAGCGCCAACTGAAGAGATTAGAACCTTGAGAAAATAGAGTAATTAAGAACTGAATGCCATTTACAAACTCAGGCTTTAGAATGTCTGACTTACAGTTCAAATATCTTCCAGAGATTTAGAAATAATTTGTCAAATATTCTTTTTCACAGTTCTGTGAAATAACTGAACAATCTGTATTCTGAGTCTCTGAATGGATATTATCTCTGCATTAGTTCCTTCCTTCCCTTTTATCCTTAAACTCTCATCTCAATCCAGCAGACAGGCATCACTTTCAAAATACAACAGAGGATCACGTTGTACTATATATGCGTGTGGTCTTGATTAATGCCGTTTTAACTGTTACAACTTTTTTAAAAATACTAACTCATTAATTTAAAATGTTTTATTTCCTGTGTAACTATTCCTCCCAATTTTGTTAGTCTACTCTATGTGTTTTCTTTTTACCTTTTTCATTTTAACTGCTCATTTTAAATCCTTTTCTTAATCCTATATGCCAATTACTTGTATGCTTTTATCTTTCTCTCTTATAATTTTGATGTTTTATCTGGTTTGGCCCATTTATTTTCAGCTTAACTTACACATATTTTATCTTAGAATAATTTTTAAATTATGAATCTTTTGGTGCATATTTAATTATTTTACTAATTTCTTTTGAACTCCTTTTGCTTTCCGTTCTCTAACCTTTTTTTTTTTCATTTTACTTTTCTCTGGAGCCTTCTACCTCCTTTATTCCTTGACTTACATGTTTCTCATATTTCCTGATATTTTCTTTTTTTAAAATTGAAGTACAGTCAGTTACACTGTGCCAATTTCTCATGTACAGGACAATGTCCCAGTCATCTCATACATTTTCTATCTGATATTATTAACAACTTTAGATGAAAGAGTAAATACATTTCCACAGATGAGGAAAGAGCAGCTCAGAGCACGAGCTAAGCTGCCAAGGTTGCACCTGATGTAAAGAGGTGCCAGGACTCCATCCTAGACCCAGGGCTTTTTTCAAATTTGTCCAAAGGATGGTAACAGGAGTCCTAGTCGGGGAACAGGGGTCTATGCTCAAATAAAATTTGGTAAATCAAAGTTAAATAGATTTCGTTATGGAAAGGTGTCTCTGATCCTTTGCTGTACAAAAGGGAGATATAATATGAAGTGTTTCCCAAACGTATTTGACCAGAGCATGTTTGTTTTATTTCTCACATTGAAAAGGTCAAGGGACCAATGTTTTTTGGAACATACATTGAGAAATGATGCATTATAAACTTTAATTTGCTTCATCTTATTAAAAGTTACTTCTGTCAAGGAACCAGCTCACCTCACAGGTAAAGCTTTAGTGGTCTGCTCCGGCAGTTCGGGTGGGTTCACGAACATCAGCTTGAGGAGGAGCTCCAAATAGCCAATATGTCTTGCCAACCTAGTACTGAGGACCCACGCCCAATTCCAACTCTCTCCTTCTCTTCGCCCACCGAAGTAAATGACAACTAAAATTCACGGTTTCAAAAAAAAAAAATTATCCAGAACAATCATTAGTCAAGGAGCCTTTTCTTCTCCAAAGAGTCAAGTATCAAGTAGTGACAGGGAGGCTTGCATAACTTTCATGGTCCGATGCTGCTCCCTAACCACGCCTCCAAGAATTCCTCAATTACCTAACCTCCCACAACATACATGATGTATGTGAAAAACGGAAAGTAAACTGATTAAAATACGACATAAGGAACACAATCAGGAGGATAATGCCTTAAACAGAAACAAAGCAGTTCAGATTCAAATGTAAATGACTTTGGGCGTATCACTCTTTGTCAGTGTTGAAGCTACCAGTTCCTCCAACATTAAACCTATTTCCTTTCCTGCAACTGAAGACACTCCCAGGAATGGGAATTATATATATTTTCTACTTTGCTTTTAAATAAAATAAAAATTACGGTCATGATCAAGATGCTCAAGAGCATGCCGTGATGGCCATGAAGACTTATTTTCAAAGAAGAATTATATATAAATCATTAATTAACATATAAAAAGGAAAATAAAATAAGAGTTCTGCTTCAATATTAACAAGTAGTGCACTGGTTTTCAAAGCTATTCCAGCCACGCTGGGGACAATGTCTCTCTAGGTCAACTTAAAAATAGCAAAAAGATCTATTTTCTCACCTAATTATGAAAATCATTTACAGACTTCAGGAGATACAGACAAAACTTTATGTAAAACATGAGTTTTGACATTCTCTATATCTTTGAAAATGGTAAGAGGCAAAGACTTACTAAAAAATATATATAAGACAGCCAAGAAGCTCAATGACACCGCTATTCCAAGATTTGGGTCCACCATAAAAGCAAACAATAAACCAAGCCCTCCACAAAGCAGCAGGGTCAGAAACACTATCAGCCATGAGAACTGGAAAAGAGGTTCAATCTGTTGTCCTGCAAAAGTTTTCATTTCATCTGAAAGAGAAA